AGCTTCTGATTGGTCAGGTGGATAATGGGAGAACGAAACTACCTTCGAGTGTGTGTGTGTGTGTGTGTGTGTGTGTGTGTGTGTAAGGTCACACTGCATGTGAATGACCCTCTACATGTTTGTCATTTTTAGATGTAATTGTTCTTTATGCTGTGTAAACTTAACAGTCTGTGTGAGAATAAAAGCAAACACGATGGAGGTTGAATGAGTCACGTGAGCGTTCGAGAATTATGATATGTTTTTTGGTTGCTCATCCATGCAGCACTCCAGTAACTTAAGCCAGTCATTTTCATGTAACTGTAAGCAGTTCAAGCCGATGGCAATTTTTGCATTTTGCCAAACATTTTAGAATTTGCAGTGCCATATTCGTTTTCAGATTTTTTTTTCTTCTGGAAGTATGTCACTTTTTTACTAACAGTTAATTTTTATTTTTGGACCGCTTATCTGTAACAACACTAAATGAGGTCTGATTTGTAGATTGTCAATGCAGTATGTACCATGTACGTGTGAGTATTAGGATGAATATGACTTCTGCCAATGGTTGATTGAATGGACTGGGAATTTTGTAATGTTCTGTTTTTCATATGCTTCTGGCCTCTACATGGACAATCAGCAGTTATGAAATGTTCAGATGCTCACTATGCACATCGGTGGGAGCTTTGAACTCTGGACGTGAGGACAATAGGAGAAGGCAGTTCTGATGCAGGTTTAACTGTTGGATGAGTGTTTTATACAGACGAGTTTAGCTTTCTTAAGTTGAAAACGAGGACAAAATATGAATGTTCAGCTTTTCTGGGACTAATATGAGTTGGTCATCCTTCTCCGTTATTCAAATAGTGACTGTTTTTGAACATGGAAATTTAAAATCAGAGTAACAGTGAAAATTACCTTTACTCTATTCTCTCTTGATTCACTCTATTCATGTTAACAATGCTAAGGATGCAGTGGTACAGGTATATTAAATAAAGAAACTTTTTCATATCTTCTGTTTGGCATGCTGTAAAAAAGAGCTGTTTTTAAGCAAAAATGAGAGTTGTGTTAGCATATAGACTGATGGAGTGCACTCAGTAAGCTTTGGCATCTGGCTCCCTTAAACAGATCATTTAGGACAGGCACGTCACTCGCTTTAGGTCAAGAGCTGGATTGGGAAAATGTCATTTTTGTAAAACTTGTGTTCCATCATACATATGAAATAGAAAACATGGAATTGATTAATTCCTTATAGCAGAGGGTTTCAGTCAGATAATATATACATTCATAGGTTTGGGGTCATTAAGTTATGTTTTTGAAAGAAGTCTGCTCACACAGCTGCAATTTTTTGATCAGTAATACAGTAAAAGCAGCAATGTTGTGAAATATTACAATTTAAAATAACTTCATTTTGATGTATTTTAAAATGTAATTTATTAATGTAATGTCACAGCTCATGTGATGTTTCAGCAGTCATTACTCCAGTCTTCAGTGTCACATGATCCATCAGAAATTATTCTAATGTTATTTCTTTGTAATGTTGAATGTTGTGATGCTGAATATTTTGTTTGAGGAAACGGATACATTTTTCAGGATTCTTTGATGAACAGAAAGGGTTACACTTTACTTGAAGGGGTGTGCATAAGACTGACATGACACCTTCATAATCATGACATGACACCTACATAATATGAATATGAAGGGTTTTTATGCATGTTTATGACAACTGTCATTAAGTGTCATTCGCTCAGTTATGTAATTTTTAATGCAAATATGACATTATTTGACCTAACCCTAACCTAACCCTACCCCTACCCTTACCCCTAACCATAGCCCATAACAAAGACATCTCAAACAATGTCATCTTTGCATTAAAAATTACAGAACTGAGCGAATGACACTTAATGACAGTTGTCATAAACATGCATAAAAACCCTTCATATTCATGACATGTGTCATGTCATGATTATG